TGAATTGGGAAAAACTATAACAGAAAAATACTGGCAGATCAAACCTAAAAAATTTATATTGTGCTTTTTATTTATTTTTATTATTATTATTTTAATGTATCTTTATTGATTTCAGAGAGAGGAAAGGCGAAGGAGAGAGAGAGATAGAAACATCAATGATGAGGGAATCACTGATCGAGCCCACAACCCGGGCATGTGCCCTGACCGGGAATCAAACCCCAATCGCCTGGATCCCAGGTCTACACTCAACCTCTGATCCACGCCCGGCTGGGCTATACTGTACTTTTTAAATAGTAACTTTTTAATGCGGTAACTCTCACTATAAAGTGAGAAGGCAAATGACAAACTGGGGAAAGTATTTGCAACATATAGGTAAAGTTCTGGTGAAAATAAAGAATATCTCCATTGAAAAATAAGCAAGGGATATTCACAGTTTACAAAAGAAGAAATACAAATATAATGTGAATCAAAGAAATCCAGTTGAAAACAACAGAGATTTTTTTCTCCAATTTGCAAATATTAAAAAGAATTTTTGAGAAGAGCATGGGGAAATGAATTACTCATACACTGGTAATGGGAGCATAAATTTAACCTTTTTGAGGAGAAATTTAGCAATGTTTAGCAAAGGCCTTAAGTATATATTCTCTTTAACATAATGATTCTAGTTTATATATTCCTAGGTGGTCACATAAGCCATCTGTGTCATTTGGGAGACATTTATTCTTTTTAGATGCCCAATATTTGAACCTCCTTCCTCTATTTGTAGTATCTCCCACTGAGTGAGTCTTTTCGGGGTATTTATTTCAGTTGTCTGACTACCTCCCATCTACTGCCATAGGATGTAAATTGTGTAAAGATAGGGATTTTGTTCCCTGTTGTATCCCTAGTGTCTAGAATTGGGTATAGTAGGTGCCCAATTAAAAGAACCTAAATGCCAGTTATTCACTTTTCCAGCCTCACACCTAGGTTGTGGGCAAGTGGCTTGGACTCTGTTAGATGAATCTGTGCTAGATTAGGACTTCGGAGTTAAAATATAAAATTCAGGACCCGAAGAGGGTTCTTACCCAGCAACAGGGTTTGTAGGATGATCAAGGTGCCAGGCATAAAAGGCGATGCTACAAGCTGCAGTGTGATGCTCACCAGACCTGTATTTTGGCATGGTTTCAGACCTTGCTCCTTATATACATCAGAGGCTAATTCTCCAGGCTCCCTGATTCTGTGAGCTCCTTAATCTTAATTTCTTAAGATTTTATTTTCTTAACTTTAAACTTGAAATGTATGTACAAAAGAATGTGTAAAATGAGTATCATTTAAAGGTAAACATGTTTAACTTCCAGATTAAGAAATGGGCTAGAACCAGTACCTTAGAAGATTCCTGTTTATCCTATACTGATTACAGTGTCCCTCCCCTCCCCCATAGGTGGTCACATAAGCCATCCATGTCACGTGGAAGACATTTATTCTTTTTAGATGCTCAACATTTGAACCTCGTATCTTGATTTCTTCTTGTTAATCACTCTTCGTAGTTTTAGCACATATGCATCTATTTCTAAACAATATACTCTTTGGTTTTGGGGTCATAGCATGTGTTTTATTTCATGACTTAATTCTTTTAGTCTACATTATGTTTTTAGATTCACACATTGTTCGTTTTCAGCTGGTGTGCAATTGCATGGCTATACCTGTTTTTATTTGGTGTCTGTTGTGTTTGGCCAGTGTCTGTGCTGCCCAGTTATTAAATATTTTGAAAATCATCACTGGATTCATTCATTTGATATGTATCCTGTAAAATATTCTATTATGTGAATTTACTGCATTTTATTTATCCACTCCACTACTGATGAATATTTGAATGTTTTTATTTTTTTAGTATTATAAGGAAAGGTACAATGAGCTTTTTTTAAAAAAAATCATCTGAGGATAAACATTTCATTGATTCTAGAGAGGGAGGAAGAGAGAGAGAGAAGGGGAGAAAAAGGTGAGAGAGAGACATCAATTGGTTGCCTCCCGTATGTGCCCTGACTGGGGATTGAACATGCAACCTGGGCATGTGCCCCAACCAGAAATGGAACCTGCCACCTTCTGGTGTACAGGATGATGCTCCAACCAGCTGAGCCACTCCCGCCAGGGCTTATCTCTGGCAGTTTTAAAGCCTATTTTTTTCTTTTCTTTGATGTTATGTAGTTTTACTATGATGTGTCTAGTTATGGATTTCTAGGACTTTGTATATTTCAAGGATTGATGACTTTCAACAATTTTGCTAAACTGTCTTGTCTCTTCAAATACTGCCTCTTCCTCATTCTCTCTATTACATCCTAATGTAATTATGATTAGACTTAGTTTTTCTCTTTCTCCATGTCTCTTAACTTCTTATCTGTATAACCCATCCCTCTGGGCTATATTTCTGTATAAATCAGTTAGCTAAGTATTTTAGTGAAACCTTGACAAGAGCAATTTTAGTGGAGTGATGGGCTCCGAAGCCAGATTATTCTGAAGTGACGAGAGAATGAGAGGTGCAACAATGGAAACATCTACCATAGTTAACTCAGTATGGAAGCTTTTTGTGAAGGGAGCAGAGAAATAAGAGAGAGTTGAATTTTTTTTAATATAGGAAAGATGGGTGATATCAAGGCATGCTTGGATATCCATAGAAATAATCTAGTAGAGAAGGAAAACTTGATGTAGAAAACAACAGATACTTTTTTTTTTTATTGTCGACACTATTACAGATGTCCCTCATTTCTTCCTCCCTTTACCAACCTCTCCCCAGTCCCTGCAACCCCTCCCTCTGGCTATTACCACACTGTTGTCTGTGTCCATGGGCTATGCATATATGTTCTTCGGCTAATCTCTTCACCTTCATTCATCGAATTCCCCCCACACACCCCTCCCCTCTGACCTCTGTCAGTCTGTTCTATGTATCCAGGCCTCTGATTCTATTTTGTTCATCAGTTTATTTTTGTTCATTAGATTCCACATATAAGTAAGATCATATGGTATTTGTCTTTGTCTGGCTTATCTTGCTTAGCATAATAATCTCCAGTTCCATCCATGCTGTCACAAAAGGTAAGAGTGCATTTTTTTATAGGCGTGTAGTATTCATGGTGTAAATGTGCCACAGCTTTTTCATCCACTCCTATACTGATGGGCACTTGGGCTGTTTCCAGATCTTAGCTATTGTAAATTGCACTGCTATGAACTTAGGGGTGCATGAGTTCTTTCTGATTGGTGTTCCAGGATTCTTAGGATATATTCCCAGAAGTGGGATCCCTGGGTCAAAAGGCAGTTTCATTTTTTATTTTTTAAGGAAACTCCATACCGTTTTCCATAGTGGCTACACCAGTCTGCATTCCCACCAACAGTGCACGAGGGTTCCCTTTTCTCCACAGGAAGGGATAATTTTGTAGCGAAATCTTCAGTTCTGTCCTTCATTTGTGTTTTTGTACCACCCTTTTTAAAGGTTAGTGAAAGGGACTTTTCTTTTTAATCAGGCTGAGGTGACTGTGCAGTCAGTTTAACAGATATTATTCACTTACCCATTCACTCAATCAGCAAATATTTCATTTGCCTTTTATGTGTCCAGACACTGTGCTAGGCGCTAGGAACCAAATTATAACAATATAATCATGGTCCATGCACTCGTGAAGCTTATAGGTTAGTGGTGGTGCTGGATGGGTGTGATCCAAAGGACTTCGAAGGGCAAATACAGGACTGTATGAGAACATTTAATAGGGAACTTAATCCTTCAACCTTATTCTGGGATAGTAGAGAAGGGAATTTAAACTGTTTCCAAAGAATGAGTGAGTTAGCCATACAAGTTCTTGGAGGCATTTCAAGAAGAGAAAAGAGCATAATTGAAGCCCTATTGCAGCAAAGAACTTGTTTGGAAACTGAAGGAAGACTAGAGCATAATTAGTGAAAGACAAGATGAACTTTAGAGGGATAGCAAGTCTTTGCTGAGTAGTACAGACTCAAGAATTTTAGCCAATCCTGAGAGCACTAGGGAAGTATTGAAGGGATTTAAGCAGAGTCATGACAGAATCATTTTTGTAATATTTTTGTTACAAAGGTATACACACAAAGCTAGTGGAGCCTGATGCTATTAAACTTTAGAATCACACAACTAACTCCCCTTTTTCAAATTATTTGTTTACTTAGCTATTAAGAATGAATTCCTCAGTCAGATATAAGTGGATGTTGCCCTGGAATTAATAAAATAATTTTATGCTGTGTGTGTGTGAGTGAGAGAGAGGGGGTGAAAAAAGAGAGAGAGGGAGAGATGGGCTGGGGAGATAGCTGGTAGTCAAGATACTATTTTTAAAATTTAGTGTAGCAATGAGAAATTAGCTAACTCTTCTTGGCATGTTAATAATTTATGCACCATTCTGTATTAGAAATTCTTTATATTTGTCTATTTTTGAATTAGTCTAAGAAATCATGACAGATTTATGTAAGGATTTGTTTCAACCCCAAAGTTTTATACTTAATATAAGTAAGATTTTTATTCTATTCTTATTTCTCTCTTCATCATAAATGTCGGAATGCACTATTCTGTTTATGTTATCAGCTTCTTTAGAGATTATTCAGATTTATCATTTGGACTAGTTAAATTTACCTTGAGCCTTATATTCTATATTTAATTCTATATCTAACACTATGCCTTGCACATAGTAGGCACTAAAAAAATGTTCAGTGAATCAAGGTAACTGATAGTTACCTTTTTTAAATTTTATTTTTCAATTACAGATTACATTCAATATTATATTGTATTAGTTTCAGGTGTACAGCGTAGTGGTTAATCATATACTTTATAAAGTGTTTCCCCCAGTATTTCCAGTACCCACCTGGCACCATACATAGTTATTACAATATTATTGACTATATTTACTATGCTATACATTACATCCCCATGACTATTTTGTAACTACCAATTTGTACTTCTTAATCCCTTCACCTTTTCCACCCATTCTCCCAACATCCCCCTCTGGCAACCATCAGTCTCTTCTTTGTATCTATGAGTCTGTTTCAATTTTGTTTGTTCATTTATTTTGTTCTTTAGATTCCACGTATAAGTGAATCAAATGGTACTTGTCGTTCTCCGTCTGACATATGTAACTTAGCATAATACCCTCTAGGTCCATCCACGCTGCTGCGCGTGGTAAGATTTCATTCTTGTTCTGGTACAGCACTGTTACACCTGATAAAAATGTCCTTCCTTAATTCCTTCCCTTCACACAAAACATATTGCCCGTGTTTGATATTCTTTTTCTTCCTGGCTTTATAGTCTTCAGTGTTCTTCTCTGAATATTATTATTTTGCTATTTTCCCTTACTCAGAATCCCTTTTTAAGGTTTAATCATCCTGAGTCTTTTTCTTGAAATTCATGTACTTGTTATTTTGTATTCTAAAATAACAAATTTGCCCATTTTCTCTTAAAAAAATGTATTTTTTCCTTCTCTCTTTTGATCTAACTTAATTTATATTTAAAAAAATTTTGAGCCTGTTTTTGATTTTGTGTTTTGCAGTATTTTAATTGCAGTTTTCCCATCCTGAGGATCTGTTGAATTGTTACTATGTATTTGATAAACACAATTTATGTATTCTATGTTTTTAGTCAATTGAAGACAATGAAGTATATTTGCCTAATGATGAAATTTGGACCTATGATATTGATAGTGGGTTGTGGTAAGTAATTTTAAATTGCAGAATGTCCAGTCTTTTTTTAATGAATTTATTGGGGTGACATTGGTTAATAAAACTATACAAGTTTCACATGTACAACTCAATAAAACATCATCTGCATACTGCATCATGTGCTCACCATATGTGTAATAAGTGTTTTCATAGAGTTGGGACTTAAAGACCGTACTTAGGACACACTGCACCATCTATTTCTCCCCTTTTTTCCAATGCTTTATTCTCTGTTTCTTTCCTCTACTCTCTTCCTTTCTGCACTACTTGTCCTTTACCATTCCTCACAATTCTAAGGCTGTCTCTGGAGATTGTTCTGCCAAGTAATCCCCAATTCTGGTTGCACATGTAAAGTTGAAAAATCTTTGCGGTGGATCTTCTTAGAGTTTTTACAGTATTGGCTACCATTATCTTTTAATTGTAATTGTCAGCAACAGTTTTCACTTAAAAAGGACTCATGGAGTACAAAGGGAATTTTAATTTGCCTTTCTGAAAGTTGTGAACTTTCATGTTATTCTTGCTGCAGGACAATGCATCTCATGGAAGGAGAACTCCCTACCTCCATGTCAGGAAGTTGCGGTGCTTGCATTAATGGAAAGCTGTATGTTTTTGGAGGATATGATGACAAAGGATACAGCAACCGAGTAATATTTTCTTTCAATTCAGGAGTGCAGCAAAATGTGTAATATTTAGTATATCACTTTATCTCACAAGTTTACAAATATGTTTAAAAGAAGATATATGTGGAAAATCTTGTATTTATGATATAAGGTTTCAGAGTGAAAATGTAGTACTTGTACTTTTCTTCCATGTCTTTCTGCTACAGAATTAACTACATACTTAAATGACACCTATAGGGCAAGAGAATGATGGGAAAAGATCTATTTCAGTATGTTTCATGTATCATTTTTGCTTCTAAAACATAGTCTCATTTCATTAATGCCACAGTTAGAATTTTACCTTATAAAAATAAAAAAGTAATACTATTAATTTTTGGATCACATAATCCTCAGGTATAGATTTAATTTTAAATGTGCTGACTGTCAATGCTCTTCTCCTCTTTTAAAAGCTTTATTTTGTTAATTTGCGAACCAGAGATGGAACCTACGTTTGGGAAAAAATCACCAACTTTGAAGGAAAACCACCCACACCACGTGATAAACTTTCTTGCTGGGTATATAAAGACAGGTAATGCAGCAAAATCACCTTCTTAACTACATTTACATAAGGATGATAGCTTGTGGCCAAAATAGGGAAAACTTGAGCCTGAATTTTTTTGTCATATAATTACAAACTTGTTTTAATGTTCATGGTAACAGTAGTTTTAAGTCCTGGGAGAGCTAAGTGATAAAAATAAACATGTGAAAACAGCTATTTGTTTTTTTAAATTAATTTATTATTTAATTAAAATTTCTGAATAGTTAGTACATTCACATAGTTCAAAACCATGTTAAAAATATTACAGTGAAAGCTTTGGCTCCCACTCCTACCCCTGCTCCTCCATGCACAAATAGCTACTTCTGTTATTATCTTTTGTATTCTTATGACAGTGGTTTCCCAAATTATCTGCCATTGTAATCACCTGGGGATCTTTTAAAAATTATGAAGCCCAGATGATACCCCAGACTAATTAAATTATAGTCTCTGGAAGTATGATTTTTTGAAGCTCCTCAGGTGATTGCAAGATGCAGACAAGTTTGGAAACCAGGAAACCACTGGCATCAGTGTTACTTTATGCAAATAGAAGCAAATATGTATGTATGTATGTATGTATACATTCCTCTTTATTCCCCTTCTCCTTACACAAATATCAGTGTACTCTTTGTCCACTGATCTATACCCTGCTACTTCTTTTAGTTAATAGTATAGACCTGGAGATTTTTCATCTTTCTGTATCCCTAGTTAGAAAGCTTGCTCTTGGTGGGTTTTTTCTTTTTGCAGCTGCGTAGTATTCTCTGTAAATATACAGGTTGTCCCAAAAAAATGTATACACACTTTAACAGCTGATAGCTCAATTTTGAAAATGAAATGTATTTAATAAGCACTGCCTTTATCATTATTCAAAGTGTGTGTGTACATTTTTGGGGAACACCCAATACATACTATTGTTTATTTAATCTTTACCCTATAGATTGTTTCACCTCCTTTGCTACAAGTATGTTTTAATGAATATCTGTGTATGTGTGTGTGCGCGTGAGCACACACGTGCGTGCACCTGTGTACATATCAGATCTATTGAATAAAATTCCAGAATTAGATGGCTAGATCAAAAGGTAATACACTTATAATTTTGTAGATGTTTAGTTTGCAAAGGCTGCTGTAACAAAGTAGCACAAACTGAGTGCCTTAAACAGAAATGCACTGTCTCAGAGTTCTGGAGGCTAGAAGTGTGAGATCAAGGTGTCAAGCAGAGTTGGTTCCTTCTCTGGGTTTTGAGAAAGAATCTATTTCATACCTCTCCCCTAATTTCTGGTGATTATTGGCAATCTTTGGTGTTCCTTGACATATAGAAGCACCATTCCTATCTCTGCTTCAACTTCACAATAGTATTCTCCCTGTGTGTGCTTGTCTGTCTTCAGGGCCCACCCCTAATTACCTTGTTTTAACTTGATTGGTTCTGTCAAGATCCTATTTTCAAATAAGGTCACATTCTGAGATACTGGGGATTAGGACTTCAACATGAATTTTAGGAGGACACAATTCAGCCCATAATAACAAATTCTGCCAAGTTTTCCTCCATAGAAGTTGTGCTGTTTTGTATTCTCAACAGTGGAATGCTTATTTCTCCACAACCTTGCCAAGAGTTTACAGGCAAACTTAGATTTTATTTTGTTTTATATATTTTTTGACCAACTAAGAAGTGATGTCTCAGTTTTATTTTGATTTTCATTAAAAACATTATTTGTGAGCTTGAATGTATTTTCAAATGTTTAAGGACAATTTTCATTTTCTCTGGACAGTTTGGTTATGTCCTTTGCTAATTATTTTCTATTGTTGGAATTTATAATCTCAATTTTTAGGAGTTTTTATATTTATGTATTAAAGAGATTAGTAATTGACTTTGCTATGAAATGAATTTTTTTCATTTGTCACTGAGTTTTGATTTTGTGTAAAGTGTTTTCTGCATGCATTAAACAGGTTTTTTCTCCTTTTTAGGATACTTTTATTTTATTATTTTAATTTTTGTATGCTAGAAGTGTTGATTTATTAAAAGTAAACATTTAAAACAGGTCACAACTTTTGTAAGCCTGTTTTGGCATTTTTTCATCTTTTAAAAAAAAAAACTTATTGGTGTGAAATTTCAGGTATACAATTCTACAATACATCATCTATATATTGCATTGTGTGTTTACCACCCCAAGTCAAGTCTCCTTTCATCACTATTTATCCCTCCTTTACCCCAGATTCTATCTCCCCCACCCTCTCCCCTCTGGCAGTCACCACACTGTTGTCTGTGTCCATGAGTCTTTCTTTTTTCTTTGCTTAATCTCTTCAACCTTCTCACCCAGCCTCGATCCTTCTCCCTTCTGACATCTGTCAGTCTGTTCTCTGTATCGATGAGTCTGTCTTCACTTTGTTAGTTTATTTTATTCATTAGATTCCACATAAAAGTGAAGTCATATGGTACTTGTCTTTCTCTAACTGGCTTATTTCACTTAGCATAATACTCTCTAGGTCCATCCATGCTGTCGCAAAAGGTAAGATTTCCTCTTTTTTTATAGCCAAGCAGTATTTCGTGGTGTAAATGTACCACAGCTTTTTATCCACTCATCTACTGATGGACACTTGGGCTGCTTCCAGATCATGGCTATTGTAAATAATGCTACAGTGAACATAGGGGTGCATTTAATCTTTTGAATTAGTGTTTTGGGATTTTTTAGATAAATTCCCAGAAAAGTGGAATTACTGTGTCATAAGGTTGTTCCATTTTTTATTTTTTGAGGTAACTCCATACTGTTCTCCACAGTGGCTGCACTAATCTGCATTCCCACTAACAGTGCACAAGGTTCCCTTTTCTCCACATCAGTGCCAACACCTGTTGTTTGTTGATTTATTGATGATAACCATTCTGATAGTTGTGAAGTGATATCTCATTGTGGTTTTAATTTTAATTTCTCTGATGATTAGTGACATTGAGCACCTTTGCATATATCTCTTAGACATTTGAATGTTCTCTTTTGAGAAGTGTCTATTCAGGTCATTTGCTTTGCCCATTTCTTAATTGGATTGTTTGTATTTTGGTACTGAGTTTTATAAGTTCCTTATAAATTTTGGATATTAAGCCCTTACCAGATGTATGGACAAATATATTCTCTCATTCATTGAGTTGTGTTTTCATTTTGTTGATGGTTTCCTTTACTGTGCAAACTTATTAGTTTGCTATAGTCCCATTTGTCTTTTTTCTCTTTTGTTTCCCTTTCCTGAGGTGATCTATCAGAAAAAATATTGCTCCAAAAAATGTCTGAGATTTTACTGAGTATGATTTCTTCTAGGATTTCTATGGTTTCCAGTCTAACATTTAAGTCTTTAATCCATTTTTTGCTTATTCTTGTATATGGTGTAAGTAGATAGTCTAGTTTCATTTTGTTGTACGTATCTGTTCAGTTTTCCCAACACAATTTATCGAATAGACTATCTTTACCCCATTGTATGTTTTTGCCTCCTTTGTCAAATATTAATTAGTTGGCAGTAAAGACATAGGTTTATTTTTGGGCTCTCTATTCTGTTCCATTGATCTATATGTCTGTTTTTATGCCAATACCATGTTGTTTTGATTGCTATGGCCTTGTAGTATAGTTTGATATAGGTAGCATGATTCCTTCAACTTTGTTCTTCTTTCTCAAGATTTCTGTGGCTATTTGGGGCCTTTTGTGGTTCCATATAAATTTTTGGAATATTTATTCTGGTTCTGTGAAATATGCCATTGGTATCTTGATAAGAATTGTGTTGAATCTGTAGATTACTTTGAGTAGTGTGAACATTTTAATGATGTTAATTCTTCCTATCCATGAACATAGTATGTGCTTCCATTTATTTATATCTTCTTCAATTTCTTTCTTTAGTGTCTTATTTTCTGAGTACAAGTCTTTTACACCCTTGGTTAAATTTATTCCTAGGTATTTTATTTTTCTGAAACAATTGTAAATGGGATTGTTTTCTTAGTTTCCCTTTTTGATAGTACATTATTGGTGTATAAAAATGCAACTGATTTCTGGATATTTATTTTGTATCCTGCTATTTACTGAATTCATTTATCAGTTCTAGTAATTTTTTTGTAGAATATTTAGGGTTCTCTAAATACAGTATCATGTCTTTTGCAAATAATGACAATTTTACTTCTTCCTTTAATTTAAATATCGTTTATTTCTTCTTCTTTTCTGATTGCTGTGGCTAGGACTTCCAGTACTATGTTGAATAAGAGTGGTGGAAGCGGACATCCTTATTTTGTTACTGATCTGAAGGGAAATGCTTTTAGTTTTTGCCCATTGACTATGATGTTGGCTGTAGGTTTGTCATATATGGCCTTTATTATGTTGAGGTATGTTTTCTCTAGTCCCACTTTGCTGACAGTTTTTATCATAAGTGGGTGTTGGATTTTATCAAATTCTTTTTCTGCTTCTATTGATATGATCATGTAGGCTTTTTAAAATTAAATTTATTGGTGTGACATTGGTTAATAGAGTATATTTCTATGATACAAGACCTGCATATTGCACTGTGTGCCCACCACCCTAAGTCAGATGTTCTCCTGTCAACATATATTAGGCTTCCTTTACTCCCCACCCACCCCCTTCAATCATGTAGTATTTGTTTGTTTGTTTGTTTAAGTTAACTTTAAAAAATTTTATTTTTATTGTTGAAAGGATTAGAGGTGTCCCATTTTTGCCCCCTTGATTCCCTCCATCCTGCTTCTGCCCCTTCCCCAGGCCTTATCCCTGTTATTGCCTGTGTCCAGGGGTTATGCATATATGCATATAAGTTCTTTGCTTAATCTCTTCTCACCCTCCAACCTCCTTCCCTCTTCCCTGTGAGAAAAGACAGTCTGTTGCATTCGTCAGTGTCTCTGGGCCTATTTTGTTTGTCAGTTTCTTTTGTTCATTAGCTTCTTCTTAAAGAAGACCCTTCATCATTTCATGTAATACTGGTCTGGTGGTGATGAACTCCTTTAGCTTTTTCTTATCTGTGAA